TGCCTGGCATGCGCGAGGCGCTGGGTTTGATTCTCAGCACCACATAAAAATAAAATAAAGATGTTGTGTCTACCGAAAACTAAAAAATATATATTAAAAAAATTCTCTCTCAAAAAAAAACAACAAAGTAATCTCTTGTCATTCCTACATATTATTCATCATATATAATACATGTAATGTACAAAATATTTGTTAGTTGACTGTTAATATTATTAGTAAAACTTGCAGTCAATAGCAGGTTATTACTAGTTAAGTTTGGGAGGAGTCAGGAGTTACACTCAGATTTCCAGCTGTGTGAGAGCTGGTGCTCTGCCGCCCCACAAACTCCATATTGTTCAGAGGTCAACTATACTATGTTCTCTTTCTCTGTTTTTCAGATTACCTASTTCTCATTGATCTGCCTTTAAATTCAGAGATTCTTTATTCTGCCAGTTGAAATCTGCTTTTGAGCCCTATAGTGAATTTCATTTTATGTTATTATATAGTAGTCTCCCCTTATCTGCAGCTGGGGGTACATTCTAAGACCTTTAGTGGATTCCTGAAGGCTTCAGGTAGTACCAAACCCCATGTGTCCCATTTTCCTACGTATACATACCCAAGATTAATTTATAAAGTAGGCACAGTAAGAGATTTACCATAACAGTAATAAAACAGAACAATTATAACAAATAAAAGTTATGTGAAAATGTGAAACATGGTTATCTCTTTTGCTATCTCAGTGTTTGCTTTTTTTTTTTTTTTGGCAGGGGCTGGGGGTTTGGTGTATATTCATTCTTCTTGAAAGAAGAACTTCATGGCTTCTCTTTGGCCAGCATGACTACTCTTTCACTTTTGGGTCACTTTTAAATAAAATAAGAGTTGAACACAAGTACTGTGATACTGCACCAGTGAATTTGATAACYGTTAATTGACTAATGGGTGGGTAGTATATCACTCTGGATATGCTGGATAAAAGGATGTTTCACATCTTAGACTGGACAACATGAGATATCATCACACTTCCCAGAATGGAGAGCAGTTTGAAACTTATGAACTGTTTATTCTCCATTTTTGGACAATTGACTGATAATAAATTACAGAAAGCAAAACTGTGGATAAGGGAAGATGACTGTATTTTTAAATTCTAGACTTTCTACTTCAAAAATAATTTCTATTTTTTCTGAATGATGAGACATTATCATCATACATACGTTTACTTTCTATTTTATTTTTATTTTTTTGTGGTACTAGGGAATGAACCTAGGGGCACTCTATCACTGAGCTACACACCCAGCCCTTAAAATTTATTTTTTTGTTTGAGACAGGGTCTCACAAAGCTGCCAAAGCTCTTAGCCTCCTGAGTAGCTGGGAATATAGGCATGTGCCTCCATGTCTGGCTGCTTTACTTTTTAAAGCCTGATTTCCTTTCAATATTTGAACATGTTTAAAATAGTTACTGTGAAGTCTTTGATTAGTTTGACATTTTAGACTTCAGGTAGTTTCTGTTTTTTCTGTGTAGGATTATACTTTATTAATAACTTAAAAAATACCTTTATTTATTTTTTTTGTGGTGCTGGGGATCGAACCCAGGGCCTTGCACAAGCTAGGTGAGCACTCTATCACTGAGCCACAACCCCAGCCCCTAATAACTTGTTTGTATCATAATTTTTGTTGAAAACTGAACATTTTATGTAATATTTTGTAGTAATTCTAAGTGTGGCTCTCTTCCACCCAGCTTAGGTTTTTCTTTTCTTATTTGTTTAGTCATGGTGGACTATTTCAGTGAAGTCTGTTTGCCTTGCATTATGCAGCCTGATGTCAATCTTTAAAGGATACAACCTTGGCCAAGTAGACAATAATTTCGGGTTTTGTTTTGCAGTGTTAGGATTTGAATCCAGGAACTTAAACACATGTTAGACACAGTAGGTGGTCTACCACTTAGCTACCTGGCCATTCTTCACAGTTCTAGCAGGATTCTTTATGTTCTCTGATCTCTCACCTCATGGTATCACACTCAACTGTTTGCCTCCACTAATTACCAGTTGATTGCTTTATTGTTTTTAACAGTGCCCTGGGAGATAAATTGTTTCACAGGTCGAGTTAAATTCTAGCCAATTTGTAGAAATAGTCTTTGAGGATAGTATTTGAACCTTGTATGTACCGCAGGAGGGTTCTTGGCTATCTTTCCCTGGTTCTGATAAACTTCTAGCTGGTCTGTTATTTAGTTGTTGCTCTCATGGAGTTACCAGCTTCTTTTTACTTGCTCATCACCCAAATCTTCATCCTTTTTGATAGCACCCTTAGGTGATCTCTTATTTCAAACAAAGTCAGGTGCCCTGGAGAGAGCTTCAGAATTCTCTGTTCCCTGCCTCCCCAGCATTGGGGAATACCTCTCTACCACTGCTCTGGAGCTAGGAATAACAGTTGCTCATTTGTCTTGGAGGGACACCCCAGCTTTGTAAGCCTGGTGCTAGACAGAGATGGAAGCCTCTGGTCTTCTTGATTACCTCTGCTAGATAAATAAGCAGAAGTGCGTGTTTAAGGGCCCTAGTCCACTGGCCTGGGCCAGAACTTGCACCCTGTGAGTAGAGGCCAGACACAATTATTGCTGAGATGTGTTTGTGCTGCTTTTCTTTTCTTTTGCAGCTTATTGGGGTTGAATCCAGGGGCACATTTGCTACCTACCTATTTTTTGAGACAAGATTTTACAAAGTTGCTGAGGGTCTCGCTAAGTTGCTGAGACTGGTCTCGAATTTATTATCCTCCTGCTTCAGCCACCCAAGTTGCTGGGGTTACAGGCATGTGTCATTGTGCTTGGGTGTGTAGACATGAATTTTCTTGAATACATGTCTCTTCCTATATGTCTTCAAGGACAATTTCTAGACACTTTAAGTTGTTATTTTGGGCAGTGCTGTGGATTTGAAGCAGGGTCTCTCTCATGCTGGCTAAGGACTCTACCACTGAACTATACCCCTAGCCTTAAGTGGTTGTTTTTAAAAACATTTCATCAGTATAGTTGTTTCACTGAGGAACTGGTTGTGGAGCTCTTCACACTAAGAATATGGAATCATTTTTTTTTTTAGTGTTTTTTGCCAAAAGTCACCAAGTCACCAGGAGTTAGAATAGTTTTGGAAAACAGCTTGTTTAAGTGTGACCTTATTATGTCTTATTCTCTTTTACATATAAATCTGAATTTTACAGAGCTTACTAGTTCCATGTGAGTGTGCATTATAGTTTTAAGTCCAGGTTAATAGATGTGAAACTAAGTTTTCCTTAAAGAATATTTAGGCATAAAATGCATCTTTGATAATTTGTATTCTCTTTTTTTTGGGCACATGAACTTTGTTATATCATTTGAAATTACAAACTTCTGTTTTCTAACCATGAAGTTTCTGTTTTATAAAACAAAAACTATTGAAAATAGGAAAACTTTGAGACCTTCAGAAAAAAATTGTGTCACTGGGTCTTAAAATCTACCCATGAACATCCCTTAAATAAATTCTTGGAACGTTAAGTAAAGAGAAGGTACATCTTTTGTAACAGTAGGTGGTCTTTAATTTCTGCTTACTGTTTCCTTGCTCCCTATGACATTTTTATGAGCTTCCTCCCACTTTTTTCTTATATTTTTATTTGTTCTTTTTAGTTATATATAACAGTAGAATGTGTTTTGACATACATATATGGGGTATAATTTCCCATTCTTGTGGTTGTACATGATGTGGAATTACACTGATTGTGTATTCATATATGAACAAGAAAGTTATGTCTGATTCATTCTACTGTCTTTCCCATTCCCATCCCCCTCCTTTCCCCAAATTCCCTCCTGTCCAATCTGGTAAACTCCTCTTCCCCCCACCCCTATTGTGAGTCAGCATCTGCATATCAGAACATTTGGCTTTTGCGTTTTGGGGATGAGCTTATTGCACTTGGCATGATAGTCTCTAGTTGTATCCATTTACTGACAAATGCCATAATTCCATTCTTCTTTATGGCTGTGTAATATTCCATTGTTTTTATGTACTGCATTTTCTTTATCCATTCATCTGTTGAAAGGCTTAGGTAGGTTCCATAATTTAACTATTGTGAATTGAGCTTTATGAGCTCTTTCTACCTCTGTTGATATGTGCTCTTATTTTGTTGGGTACTATAGATAAGATGGGCACTGAGGAAATCTTGTTCTGTATTTTGTTAAGTGCTTTTTATGATTAAATTAATCCTGCCTTCATTCTGTGTTCCCAGAAATGTAATGGTTGAATGTAAAAATCAATAATTTTATTGATTCTGCCTGTTTGATAGATGAAGGGCTTTTCACCAACTCTTCATGTAGCCCAAACTTTGTCCCTCAGTCCCTTTGACATCTGTCCTTCTTGTTTTCAAATCCTGACAGATGTTAGGTTTTTGTTCTATACTTGTCTCAACTTTTTGTGTTTTTCTGAAGCTGTATTACAATAGATATTTCTGATCACCATTTCACTTTGACTTCACATTTGTATTCCCAGTTCCCAGTTTCTGCTTTTTCAAATTATCTTAAACAGGTATGACTTGGCAGTTCATGTATTTTAGAAGTATTCAGGAGTAACTATGAAGGACTGGAGATGATCCAGGCAAGGTGGCATACAATTGTAATACCAGTTACTATGGAGGCTGAGGCTGGAGGATTGTAAAGTTCAAGGCCAGCCTCAGCAATTTAGTGAGACCCTGTCTTGAAATAAACAACAAAAAGGGCTGGGGATGTAGCTCAGTGGTGAAGTGTTTTTCTAGTGTGTGCAAGGTCCTAGGTTTAATCTCCAGCACTACAACAAAACAAAAGTAACTAAATATTAGACTTTGGTATGAAGAAGATTCACATCTGAGATTATAATATTTTAATGGAAGTGTGGCATCAAATTTTCTGATTTTGAGTAATAAATGCTTTTGCTAAGGAAAACTAATACAAAAGTTAAAGTCTCCCTGTAATTCCACCTGTAGATAGTAAATACACTGTCAAGGTAACCTGACATTTTGTAAACTCTTTATTGTAGCTCCTGCAGGAGCCTGTGGTGTTGTACTGGCACCACCCGCAGGAACCGCTACAAATTCTAGGGCTGTCCTCTTCACTGTGGGGTCTCCTCCACACAGCGCCACAGGCCCCACTTGTACCCATATGGTCCTACGAACAAGAACCACCTCAGGTGAGAAATGTTTGTCCTATTCAATCTGTGGCAAGTATTTGGAGTGTGGTATTCTGAGGGTAATGTAGTGTTACAACTTAAAGTCACTGAATTTCTTTGGTCTTCAGTTTCTTTGCCAGTGAACAAGGGTTAGAAATACTAAATGAGGCAGCATTTTGGATGGGGGGACTTTGTAAAGTAAAAGTGCTACATTATGTGTGTGTGTGTGTGTGTGTGTGTGTGTGTCTGTGTGTATATATATATATATATATATATATATATATCTAGAAATATCCATTATGCTTGTATGTTCATATGTATTATATATAATATAAAATATAAATAATTGATCCATGAAGAAGCAGCTGTCTAACCATAGTGATTCTCAACTTATATTTTGAAATCTTATTTTAGTATATTGTTTGTTTATTTTTTCTAGAAGCTTAAGTTTTATTTTTGAACTTTGGGTACCAGTATTTCTTTTCTATTTGAAAAACATTAATATTATATTTTCAAAATAATGTTGCTACACTCATCCATAGCAACCATGTTCATAGGAAGTGACACATTATGTTTAGATAGGCTAATATATTTTTATTATTATCCATATTCTATAAGTAGTTTATTAATAGAGAAAATAAGAAAGTATTTAGATTGGACTCAAAGTCAGTATATAATACCATCATATATATTGTGCTTTGTGTTATTTAAGTTCTCTTATTCTAAATAAGTTGCTAATCAGGATATTGCTATCAATAAAAAAAGATAGGTAGAACTAAAATCTTAGTTTTATAAATATTTATAATTTTATACGATAAGTAAGAAAATGCCATTTTAAAACAGTAACATTTTATATCTGTTAATTGTAGTGACATTTTTAAAAACTTAATGCCCAGTCTTGTCAAGCTTTAGTGGATATGTGCTTACAGCTGCTATAGAAAATAATGTGTCAATTCTTAGGAAAAGCTGTAAAAATGTTTATAATATTCATCTGGTAATTCCTTTCTTGTTTATAATACCACTATTGAGTATTTATCACATAGAAGTCATTTGAAAGAAGGAAAAACTTGGTTAATTTCATTGCAGTGATATTTGTAACATGAAAAAAAATCAGAAATAGTATAAATGACTCCAGATTGTAAATTACTATACATCTATTGAATCTTATAATTATGAAATTGATGGAGCAACCAGGAAAAATGTTTATGGTACAAATTTTTTAGAGTAGAATATAAGAAAACTAGCTCTGATATCTGTAAAATATACACATAGACAAGGATTGTAAGTGAACATGGAAAACTAAAAACTATTCGTATGGTAAAGTTGGGTGGGGATAAGGGACTTTTGTTTGAACTTTATTACTCAGTAGGTTTTGTTCAGTAAATAAGAGGAGCAGTGGGTGTAAAAGCCCCTCTGTGACCTAACTCAGGACGCTGTGCTGTGTTTTATGTTTCCTTGCAGTGGGGTCCAGCAGCTCAGGAGGCTCTCTGTGCTCTGCAAGTGGCCGTGTGTGTGTGGGCTCCCCACCTGGCCCGGGCTTGGGCTCTTCCCCACCGGGAGCAGAGGCAGCTCCCAGCCTGAGATATGTGCCTTATGGTGCTTCACCCCCCAGCCTAGAGGGGCTTATCACTTTTGAAGCCCCCGAACTGCCAGAGGAGACACTGATGGAGGTAGAGAAAAGACTACAGTGGTGTGTTAATATAATGTTGATATGATGTGAGTGTTCTAGTGGTGACAAAAGGATAAAATAAATTGAGCAGTTCTGAAATTATGCTCCTCCCCCTGCCCCCATACTGGGAACATGAACCCAGGGGCATTCTATTGTTGAGCTACATCCCCAGCTCTTTTTAAAATTTTTTATTTTGAGACAGGGTCTTGTTAAGTTTCTGAGGCTGCCCTTGAACTTCCTGCCTTAGCCTCCCAAGCTGCTGAGATTACAGACATCCAGAGGCACTCAATCACTGAGCCATGTCCCTAGCCCTTTTTTATATTTTATTTAGAGACAGGGCCTCACTAAGTTGCTGAGGCTGCTTTGAACTCGTAATTCTCCTGCCTCAGCCTCCCAAGCTGTTGGGATTACAGGCGTGCACCACCATGTCTGCTTCTTTCTTTTCTATTTGAAAAACATTAATATTATATTTTCAAAATAATGTTGCTACACTCATCCATAGCAACCATGTTCATAGGAAGTGACACATTATGTGTTCTCAATTTTTTATCCAAAGTTTATTTACTATTTATAATATTTTGAAGCATAATCTGTGTCCTAAAAAGTAAGCTTTTATTCTCAAAGTTTTCTTTGATAAAAATAAATAGGCATAATTTATTTATTATTTTAAATTACAAATTTTAAATTTTAAAAATAAAACATCATTTATTTATTTGGCACTGGGGATTGAACCCAGGGGCACTTAACCCCTGAGCCACATCCCCAGCCCTTGTTTGTATTTTTTTAAGTTTAGAGACAGGGTCTCACTGAGTTGCTTAGGACATTGATAAGTTCCAGAGGCTGGCTTTGAATTCTCCGTCCTCCTGCCACAGCCTCCTGAGTCTGGGATTACAGGCGCCCAGCTAATTTAAAATTTTTAACAATAATAGTAAACCAGTAATGACATATTTTGTTCATTAACAAAGTAATATACCTGCCAAATGGACTGGATGCTCATGTTTATAGATTAGTACCTTTTCTCTGTGGGTCCACTTCTCCAGAAAAGAAACATATTGTATATAACCTGAAATATGTGAGCGTAAATCCAGAACCAGAGTATGTTTTATGATTTCAGAGCTGTGTATGCTTAGTTCCTCAATCCTGACTCAAGGAAAACACTCTGTAGGATGATGTGTCTGTCCTCAGTCCCTGAATGCCTGAGGTCTTAACTTAGCCTGAGGTTTAAATTAAAATGATCAACTTTCTGGACCAACTAAAGAGCAAATTTTTTCTCCATTTAGGATCTCTAATATTAATATTTTGTATGAATAATAGCTTTTCACATAAAAATTACAAAATATTGCATGCAAATTTTTAGTAGTGATTTTGTGGTAGTAATTTTGAAAGTGTATCTAGTCCAATCTAAAGTTGGAAAAAATAAACTTGAGTTTTTTTTTTTTTTTAGTCTACATCCAATTAGACATAAATTACATTCCAGTACATGTTTGAACATGTTGGAGCATATAGTTGACAATATGCTGTCACAGAGCAGAGAGACTCAAAAATTGAATGGTTTATTCTCTTGTATCTAAGAAAACTATTCTCTTCTTTTAATCATAAAAGGAGAGTAAGTTATTCAATTAACTTTTAGGCCATGCTTAAGATTTCAAAATACATTTACAACTAAACAAAAATCTCAAAGCAAAAATTGACTACATATTTTAAAATTACAGCATCCCTCAGATTGCTGTTCTATCTTCCTATGCTCCTCTCTTTAACTAACTGAAAAGAACACAGAAAATTAGAGCTTTGGTATTAGGAATCTACTATTGACTGAAAAATCAACAGAAACTAAAATAACAACTCACTGAACTATGAAGAATTGTGATTTAAGAGCTGGGCATACTAGCACATACCTGTAATGCCAACTACTTAGGAGGATTCCTTGAGCCCAGGAGATAAGAGATGACCTGGGCAACATAGCAGGGATCCCATCTCAAAAAATTTAAAAAAGTGATTTTAGTGTGCAGAGTATCCTTGCATTTAATTTTTTTTTTTTTTTTTTGGTACCAGAAATTGAACTCAGGGCCTCACATAGACTAGGCAGGTATTTTCCTACTGAGCACTGATGAGATTGTATCCTCAGCCCATTTTTAAAAATTCTGTTTTGAGACAGCGTTTCATAAGTTGCCCAAGCTGGCCTCGAACTTCTGAACCTTTTGTCTCACCCTCCCAAGTAGCTGTCCTTGCAGTCTTGATATCTGTTTTGTCGTGAATATATTGATTTGATCTTTTTTTTTTTTTTTAAATTCTTTTGTTTTAATTCTGGTAAAAGCACAATGTCTTGCTCTTTTTGGAGCTAACTTATGTGAGTGCTCTGAAACATACATAAACACTTGCACAAACCCACATTGGTTTCATTTTTGTTTTCTTACCAGCTTTTTGAAATTTAAAAATGTCAATTTCCTTTGATCATTCTGACATTCATAAGTATGGAAAAACACTACATATAGAAAAACTACAGTCAAGCTTTCTTTTTTCCTGTACTGGGGATTGAACTCAGGGCCTAAGCAAGCACTCTACCAGTGAATTGCATAACTTTATCTCCAGTCCTTTTGTTTGTTTGTTTCTGAGTTATCCAAGCTGGCCTCAAACTTGTCTTCTTGCTTCAGCCTCTCAAGTAGATGGAATTGCAGGTGTGTGCCCCCATACCCAGCTATATATAGAAATTCTTTATCTAGAATGTTCTAAGACAGTGTCTTTGCTGCAGCGAGAACACACAGATACCTTACGCCATCTGAATGTGATGCTGATGTTCACGGAGTGTGTGCTGGACCTAACAGCTGTGAGGGGGGGGAACCCTGAGCTGTGCACATCTGCAGTGTCCTTGTACCAGATTCAAGAGAGTGTGGTTGTGGACCAGATCAGCCAGTTGAGTAAAGACTGGGGGTACGTGCCACCGCCTGTCATTTCATTGCTATATTCATGCTTTCTGTAACCTTGTGCCTGAGCTGCTGGCATTGTCAGCTACTGAAGGTCAAATATTATTAAAATCTTCAAAGGAATCTCTAAGTTACTTCATTGTGTAAGATGCCACTATATGAGCCAAGAGAATTTTATAATTTTAAGCCTTGCCTTTATTGGGAGATGGTGTGGATTTTTATCTGAGCATTTCTATTGTAGTCAAAGTTCACACATCTGTCTTCATGTCAAATCTTCTCCCTTCAGGGGTTATATTTGCATTAAAAAACTAGGAGGAGAATATGCTTATAGAAAGGATATTTGAATGGTGGCCTGATATTAGAGCCCCAAGTCTGGTGGGTTGGTTCTCAAGGTAACTCTCTATTCCTGTCTTCCTGGTACAGGCGGGTAGAACAGCTGGTGTTATACATGAAAGCAGCACAGCTGCTTGCAGCTTCCCTGCATCTTGCCAAAGCTCAGATCAAGTCCGGGAAGCTGAGCCCATCCTCAGCCGTGAAACAAGGTATGGCAGCTGTGGCTTTAGGAGTCCTGGAGTTCGTCCCTTCCTGTCCAGTGGAGAGAGARGCACTATGCTATTCAGTATCCTAATAGGGAAAAAGATGCTGGTGTTTTGTTTTTGGTACATGTATTTGATACAGAAAGGTTGTAAGGGCTTTATTTTGTCATTTCATACTGAAATAGAGATCATAGAACTGGATTTCTGATCCTTCCTTTCAGTGATCATATAATGTTACTTTCCTTAAATCATCACAAAAGGTGTGTGTCACTGTGTCATCATTTCTAGAGGAAAATTAAAATTAGTTCTCATCTCAACTTTTTTTCCAGTTGTCAAAAATCTGAACGATCGGTATAAACTCTGCATCACCATGTGCAAAAAACTCACAGAAAAGCTGACTCGCTTCTTCTCTGACAAACAGAGATTTATTGATGAAATCAACAGTGTAACTGCAGAGAAACTCATCTATAATTGTGCTGTGGAAATGGTAAGCTTTTTTAAGGTTTAATATTGTATAGCACGGTAGTACTTATCTCTAAGATTATCTTTTGAATCCAGAGTATTGTAATTATTATTGTGATAACATCCTACAAAAGGAGGAATTGAAGTTCTCTAACATTTTTTTTTTTTTTGGTAGGGGGAGGGTATTGGGGATTGAGGGTACCAGGCACTCAACTACTAAACCACATCCTCAGCCCTATTTTGTATTTAATTTAGAGACAGGGTCTCACTGAGTTGCTTAGTGCCTCTCCATTGCTGAGGCTGGCTTTGAACTTGTGATCTTCCTGCTTCAGCCTCTCAAGGTGCTGAGATTACAAGCATGTGCCACCACGCCCATCCTTACCAACATTGAAGTAACATTTAATATAATTTATTTAATGAACTTCCTTAAGTCTGGCTACCACTTTTGATAAAATTCTCTTTTCTCTTTTTATTTTTGTGGTATGGTGATTAAACCCAGGGCCTTGTGCTAGGCAAGTGCTCTACTCTGCATCACCAGCCCAGAATTTTTTTATAGCTGCTGCTAAACTTTGCTAAGATTAGGCATGGTGTCATCTTTTAGTAGTTTGCATTTAAAAGCATTAACTGGACTTTTTTCTACATTTTCTATTATTTAAGAAATTTTAGCTTAGTAAAACTGTTAGAAAATATACTGCTTTGTTAACCAATATAAAAATTCATGGGCACAGATTCCACTTAACTGACCTTATTAAAGTATAAGCATCAAGTAAAATCTACTTTTCTAATTGTCTGGTTATAATATCAAAAATAATTTGTTTTCTTTCTCTACTGGGGAAAAATTGCTCTGAAGCATAGATAAAAATAGAAGCTATTAAATAAGTGATTAAGTGGGGAAAGTTTATTTTTGACTAATCTTTTTTTTTAACCATAGTAATGTAATTGATTTTACCTATTTGTGTACTTTGAATTGTACTATTACTATACTCTTTGTCTTATTTCAAAAGCCATTAAAATGAATAGTCACATGAAAATAACAAGAATATAAAATGACAGGAATAATATATATTTTATTGTTCTAAACTGTTGATAGGAATAATATGCATTGTATTACTTTACACCGAATTAAGAGTTCATAAGGCCACTGAAGAGAGTGTTTCTGATGAGGATGCATTCTGTTATTCAGTATTCTTAACAGGGAAAAAGATCCCAGCTAATGAGGAGATCTCAAGTTCAGGGCCAGCCTGGGCAACTTAGTGAGATTCTATCTCCAAATAAAAAATAAAAAGGTCCAGAGATGTAACTCAGTGGTAAAGTGCCCCAGGGTTCAATCCCCAGCAACCTCCCTCCCCCTAAAAAAAGACTTTTTAAGAATTTTGTGCCCAGAAAAATGTCCTCTCATAAGGAATTATAATGCTTCTTTCCTTTCTGATAATAACAGCCCTGTAACTTAAGTAGGTTCTTCTTTTTGCCTAGTGCTTAGGAAGCTTAGAGGTATCAACAGTTACATTTTAGTTATATTTTTCTCTTTCGTTTTCATGGCTCTGATTTTCTTTATCTATTTTATTTGGTTGACTGTAAATATCTTTAAATTATTTTTTGAAAGAGCATATTAACAATTAGAATACTAGATTACTGAGAGTTCTGGCATTTAGTGATCAAAGAGAACATAAGAATGCTGTTGGGAAAACCCGTATGAATAACTACCATTCTCTCTTTCTGCAAAGACCTCTTCCCACCTTTCCCATTACTCAGCTCATTCTTGCTCCTCTTTATGATTCAGCCTAAACATTATCTTCTGGAGGCTTCCCCTAATATCCTCTTGCAGGGTTAGGTGGACTTCCTGTGTATTCTGTACCATCCTGATGCTTTCTCCTGAAATAAGACTTGTCCCTTAGAATTAGAAATGCATATTTTGGCCCGGCATGATAATCCCAGCAACTCAGGCTGAGGCAGGAGGATCTTGAGTTCAAAGCCAGCGTCAGCAATGGAGAGGCCCTAAGCAACTCAGGAGACCCCATCTCTAAATAAAATACAAAAAAGGGCTGTAGCTGTAGCTTGATGGTCAAGTGCCCCTGGGTTCAATGCCTGGTACCAAAGAAAAGAAGAAATGCATGTTTTGCAGACTTATGTCTTGTTTTAGACTGTGAGCACTCCTTTATTTATATGCTGAGTGCCTGGCATTAGTAGGTGCTCAGTAATTATCTATGAATGAATAACTACACATACCTGAAAATTCTTTTGACTAGACTTTTAACATCATTTCATCATATTACTGTAACAATCTTTTAATGAAGTTTACTTTAAGTAGCTCATCCTGATGAATCTAAGTTCTGTATAGTTTAGTAGGCTATAGCATTTCATCAAAATGTGTTAATTTTAGGTAGATGCTATTTAAAAGCTGCATTGCTAAGATGAATTTGTATTTTCTTGGAAAATTTGAGAATTTTTTGTTGACTGGTTCCAGGTTCAGTCTGCAGCCCTGGATGAGATGTTTCAGCAGACTGAAGATATTGTTTATCGTTACCATAAGGCAGCCCTTCTCTTGGAAGGCCTAACCAAGATTCTACAAGACCCTGCAGATATTGAAAATGTACATAAATGTAAGCTGACCTACACAGTAGTCTTCCAGTATCTACAGTTTTGCTTTCCACATTTTTAGTACCCAAGGTCAACCAAGGTGTAAAAATATTAAATGGAAAACTCAGAAACAATCCATAGTGTGATAAATTGCTCCTTCCCTTTGTCCAGCCTATCCATGCTATTAGATATGCCACCCACCTTTTAGTCACTTAGTAGCTCTCTTGGTTATCAGATCTGTTGTCTTAGTATTGCAGTGCTTATAGATAGTTTGTTACTCTTGATGCTTTCAGGCATTCATTGGGGGTCTTGGAATATATCCGTTGGGGATAAGGAAAGACCATTATATTTATTGATGGCAATTTAGTAGTCTCTTGCAGTATATAATAAAAACAGGTTAGGGGGATGCTGGGGTTGTGGCTCAGTGGTAGAGTGCTTGCCTAGCACACATGAGGCACTGGGTTCAAACCTCAGCACCACATAAAAATGAAATAAAGATATTGTGTTTACCTATAACTAAAAAATATTAAAACAAAAGAGCTTAGGGATTATAAACATACTGCCTAGGTTGAATCTTGGATTTCCAAACTTGAGTAAACCATTTAACCTTTCTATTGTCTTATTTTCCTTATACTATATGATGCGGATAGCAATGCCCACCTTGCAGAGTTGTGAAGATTAGAGATTATGCGTGTAAATTACAGATGGTTTTTAGATTTCTACTCTGCATCCCTTTTTAGCAAGTGTGTGCTCATGTATGTAGGAGAATGTTGTTTTTATTGTTGAACATAACACTCTTAAGCATCCTGGGCTTAGTGACTGAAGAATCCTATAAAGAGCCTATGTATTGCAGATTGATACTGTATAGAATATGTAATGGAGAATGTAATGGATATGTACTAGAGATGGATGGGATTCCAGGGGATATTACTACTTATCAGATATAAGACCAGCAATCTGATTTTCAAGGAGAAGGTGATATTAAAATCCAAATGTTCTCTATGCGATGTGCTTCTCTGAATTTTACCGCTAAGTTAAAAATCATATATCTAAACTATTACCAGATAGAAGAAAATATATTCTATTACCTTCCGGGAAAAGATTGAAAAGAGACAATGATTCCAATAGAGTTAGTGATTTTTTTCCCCTTAGTTGTTCTTTCCTTGGTTTTGAAAATATAAGTACTTTTAATTCTGATTTTTTAAAAAAATTATTTCTAGATAAATCTAGTATTGAAAGAAGATTGTCAGCACTCTGCTGTAGCACTGCGACTGTGTGAGAAGCAGGCATGTCCATGGACCGGCGTGGGAGCATGAGGTGATACATTTGAGATTACAGCTTGGTTCTGTCACCCATCCCCAGGAAACTAGTTTAACTGGTGACTACCAAAGAACAAGCAGCAATTTCAAAAAGGAAAAACAATCCAAAAACTAYRTTTGTAGAAAATCTGCCTTACTGGARAAGATACTCCCTTTTCCCTTTTTCTTTGTAGAARCAGAARCAAGAGTATTCCAGTTTGCTCCCTGTTTGAACTTGGTAAATAAACATACCTTAGAACTAGAATTATCATTTATTCTTATGGATAATTAAACATGAAATAAGGCAAGTGGCACTTCACTCRGTTCATAGAGCAATGTATGAAATGCCATGTGTTTGCTGAGGTGTACACAAGCAAGAATATACACCTCGTCAGACAGTTTGATGTTTGGGGTGAGTTTGTCTGAACCTGAGCATGCATCTTTCAACAGCTCAGGAAGAAATAGTTTAAGAAGAAGCAAAAGATGGCTCTTGGAAGAAATTTTGAAATCTTCAATTTGATCTAGTATGGACATWCGTTAATTCTTCCAAAATCTTTCATATTGCACTAATTTATTAAAACAACTGTGTATTGGATTTTGCAATTTAAAACTGAGGCACAATGGACTTGTTTAAAGTATTTTACTTGATTATATACATATATTCTTTCCAGAATTTACATGTAATCGCTATTGAACTTTTAAATGATCAAAACTTGTGTTCATGTGAATCTTTGCATTTTTTATTTGTTTATTTACAYCTACAGATCTTCTTAGTAATATTTTGAGTTGCTGATGTTTACTTTGTTTGCATTTTTCCTTGTGCATGCAAAATGTGCATTGATGCCTGTGACTTTAGGTTTATTAAAGAATAGGTTTATTTGGACAGTATTAGAAAAACTATCATGAATCAAGAGATATTCTTGAGAATTTTCATAGGGCCAAAACAAAGTTGGTGATCAAAGGCTTGTTAGTGATGTGGAGTTTCTACATGAAGTTAGTGAAAAATTAGGTTTGTTTTCTCTTAGGAAAATGGCAGCKCTCTCCAGCCTAACGTGTATTTTTAATGTTAATCTTGACAGTTCACCAAATAGCTTGTAATGGAAAAGCAGGCAGTTAACATCCTTTTAGKAATGTTTCATACGTTGTATATTATTTGATTTCTTTTACTTACCTGCTTGAATACTTGAATAAACCATTCACCAGTTTTAATCCTATTATTTTAAGCCTTTTACATAAAATATTTTGAACTGACAGTGTGCAGAAGCTCTTCRGCATTACTCTAATTTTAATGTACTGATAAAAATAAACAAACATGGATTTCCTTTACTTTGACAAAGTAATGTAATTTCTACTTTATTTATCTGTATGAAATTCCAGCAGTTAATTTGAACATTTATTTATATGATGTTTGTATTTTTAGGTCTTTAATACAGTGTCTTTCTACCTCTCATTTGTAATTGCATGCGTTATTCTTGAAACTAGTTAAAACTCACTGAATTGTTGTGTAATAGCCTTTTTATTATTACCTATACAAATGTATATTAAGGTAAAATAAAACTGACAGTGTTTCTAGGTTACAGTTGGGTCCATATTAAATGGTCAAGGCAGATACTTCCTTAGTCTGGGGACTTGGTCATTAAGGTCCTTTGCCACATCCCAGGATTTCCCAGGATTTAAGATTCTTGGTGACTGTATTTCAGGCTTCCATAAATTGATGATCACTTCCCCTTCTTGCTTAGTGATACTGTATTTTTGTATAATTTTTAGAGTTTACACTTTCCTCCATGTTCTCCCCTGTATTATCTCAGTTGATCCTCTGTGTGGGTGGGTAGGGTTATTCTGCCCCCTCTCTAACTTTTTTTAAACACATGATGAAACAGGTTCAAAGAGGGTAAGTGATTAGTCTGAAGTCAGGAACTAGGAAAGTGGTCAAGCCATTCTTTGTAACTTCCAAGTTCTTTCTTCTTCCTCTTGTGTAGTCAAGGTCTTGTTATTGTTAGTGTGTATGAAACAGTGAACTCTCAACAGCAGAGAACAAACTGTAAATTTATGAGTAATGGTTCTGATTATATTTCCATTATCAAGGCTGATTGTTTTAAGAGATTTTTGCCTTGATTATAGCAATAATAATAAACAAGTGCTTTATGTTTCCATGAGTATTTTTTAATTTCTTTTTTTGTTGGGGGAGGGTACTGGGAATTACACTGGCAGGGGTACTCACATTGAGCTCTATCTCCTGCTCTTTTTAAATTTTGAGACAGGGTCTTGCTGAGTTGCTCAGGCTGCCCTGAAACTTATGATCCTTCTGCCTTAGCCTCCTGAGTAGCTGGGATTACAGGTGTGCACCTAGTGTATTTTTAAATTTCATATCACCTATTTCTTTTTTTAATTGATTTAAAAAAAATAAATGACAGCAGAGTGCATTACAATTCTTATTACATGTACACAGTATAATTTTTCATATCTCTGTATATAAAGTRTGTTCACACCAATTCATGTCTTCATACATGACCTTTGGATAATGGTGTCCATCACATTCTACCATCATTGCTAACCCCCTGCCCCCTCCCTCCCCCTCTGCCCTATCTAGAGTTTGTCTATTCCTCCCATGTTCCCCCTCCCTACCCCACCTATTTCATGAAGTAGAAAAAAATGGCAACATTCAAATTGGTCACAGTGATGCACAATTTTAATCCTGGAGACTTGGGAAGTTGAAGCAGGAGAATCACAAGTTTGAGACCAGCCTCAGCAATTTAGTAGGACCTTGTCTTAAAAAAAAAAAAAAAAAAAAAAGAAAGAAAGAAATGACTAGGGGTATAGCTCACTGGTAGAGCACCTCTGGCTTAATACTTGGAAAATTGTGGACCATTACAGATGTAAATAGAGGAATTAATCATGAATTTGCTAGTTAGCTGTTCCTACTCTTAAGATTTATTTTAACTGTCTCCTATACTGACTGGTCTTGAAGATCTTGATATAGTTATTTCTCACATCCCTGTGTTCCCTTCCTTCCACTGAGAGGAATAACCAGACCAGGAGGAGGCTATTGTTAAGGCATAGTGCCAGCAAGGGTCATAAGGAGAAAGTTGAATACTATACAGTGGACGTGAGGACATGGGAGTTGTGCTTCCAAACCAATATATCTGACACGTCTGGGTTCCTGTTTCGGTGCAGTTGTCCTGAGACTGTTTCATTTCAGGAAGGATGGTATTTCTCCCTCCAGCTCACCTCTGTGCTGGCATTTGCAGTAGCTTCTCTTGTGGTCTGAGAATATTGTGTTTAAAAATGGCAACATTCAGGACTGGGGTTGTGGCTCAGTGGTAGAGGGCTCGCTGAGCATGTGGGATGCATTGGGTTGGATCCTCAGCACCACATAAAGAAATAAAGATATTGTGTCCAACTACAACTAAAAAAATATTTAAAAAATGGCAACATTCAAACTGGTTACAGTGATGCACAACTATAATCCTGGAGACATGGGAATTTGAAGCAGGAGAATCAAATTTGAGGCCAGCCTCAGCAACTTAATAAGACCTTGTCTCAGAAAAAAAAAAAAAAAAAAAAAGACTGGGGGTATAGCTCACTGGTAGAGCACCTCTGGGTTAAACCCCAGTGACAGCACTCCTGCTGCCGTATACATGGTGGCGACACCCAGTTTTGAGTTTTGATCATTTTAGTTAAGAGAAATAACATTCAGTGAAGGCTGATGACTTATTTCCTATGATCCAGTGCTTCCTGGTTCCCACAAAAGGAGCTTTTCTGTCCTCACTAGAGTCAGACCTAGCAGCAGCTCAGGAGGAGCTAATGTTAGGGTCAGGCTGCCTCACTGTCCAAGGATAAAGAGAAAGTTGAATTGGACGTGCTGGGCATGAAGGCATGGGCTCATATTACTTAAAAATCCTTGAGGTGCTGTGTAGTGTGATTGGAGCACAGGCTGTGTTGGAAAGCTTCACACTTCTAGTCACACTTGTAGTCTCTGTAAGCAATTTTAAGTTTTTTTTTTTTTTCTGGAATAAAGAAAGGTCAATTGGTGTTTCCATAGAAAAGATTACTTCACAGGGAGCAGCTACTGCTCAGAGAACTTGATCTTGTCACACCTGATACCTGCATCTTTGAAGCATCTGCATCCACTTCTAGGTGGCTTTAGACCATTTTCTTCTGGACCCTTGAAGCTGTGTAGTCCTATGACTACATAAGGACCTTCCCAGGTCACTTTCTTGTTTATCAAAGCCCTTGAGATACTGTCCTTGAGGGGAGACCCAGTCAAGATGATATCTTCCTTATCTGAATTGGGAAAGTATCAGAAATGATCCCTCTATAAAAGCATTGTATACAGGAAAACTCTACTAAAAAAAAAAAAAAAGAAAGAAAATCACAGCATTTGTGCTAGAGGTGAAGGCAAACTTATAAGGTGGATTCACCAATCAGAACAAACAGCAGAGGCTGATCTCTTGCTGCCATTATGATCTTGTGCAGTCTACAGCAGAGGCCCTGATGGAGCGGTGACTGGAGTAAGGATCAGCCCAGGGAGCCCTGGCCCTGTTGTCCTGAGTGTGCTGTACAAGGGCATTACCTGTAGGATCTTGTTTTTTGTAGAAGCCCTTGTGGGGAGCCATTCTCACACGTGACTGGGCAACTCCCGGTTTGGGTCTGAGGCGCTCTGGCTAAACTGTGTTGGAGCTTTCCCGACCCTCTCCTGGTGCAAGAGCCTGTCCGTGTGGGGGTGTGACTTGACCACTGACCCTGGGGCCAATCACTGACCCTGACCTTGGAGTGCTGCCCCCCTCAACCTTCATTGGATGGAATTCTCCCCTGAATTTCTTGTTCCTCAATAAAAGGCCACTCCCTGGCTTGCTCGCTCTCTCTCTCTCCTGTTAGCCCTGAGTAATCCCTGCTGCCCTACCGGGTGGTTCGATGTCACAGCCAGAGGGGGAGCCGTCTCGGACCTGGTCATAGAAAAAGGTAACTGAGTCTGTGTGTTTATTTCGATCTCACTAGCTAACTTTTATGCCAAGAACCTCTTTAATGAAACCAGTGCGCTGGTCGCATGGTGGAAAGCCCTCTTAGCCCCATTTTCATATACTATAAAGATCTTCATTATTTGATATATCCTTTCTTGACAGCTCTCCTAGTGCCTCCCAGAGTGGATCTGGAGTAATGGAGACTGTTAGCTTTCTATTGCTCTAAAATACCTGACAAGAACAACTTGGAGGGAAAAGTTTATTTTCGGCTTATGGTTTCAGAGGTTTAGGCCATGGTCAGCTGGCTCCATTGCTCTGGGCCGAAGGTGAGTCAGAGCATCATGGCAGAAGGGCATGGTGGAGGAAAGCTGCTTATCTCATGGCAGCTGGGAAGCAGAGTGTGTGAGGAGCCAGGAACAAAACATATACTCCAAAGGCATACCCCCAGTAACCTAACTTCCTCTAGCCAGGCCCTGCCTGCCTACGGTTACCACCATTTGTCCAAATTATCAATTCATCAAATAGATTAATCCACTGATTAGGTTCAAGCTCTCATCTGATCATTTTACTACTTTCATTAACACAGGAGCTTTTGGGGACATTTTGTATCCAAACTACAACAGGGCTTTTAAGCCCTGGGCCAGATG